TTCATCCAGCCCATCCAGGCACGAAACCGCAGCAGGTTCAACTCAGCTATTTTAACCTTGCATCGCAGGAACGGCTGACATAAAAGCAGACAACCAGCTGAATGCAAAGCACGACATTAAAATAACTTAGCATTAAAAGACCTGCACGACAGACTGCATCGAAGCATGCAGGGGGACGGTTGCGGGACTGATCTTGATTAAGTTAGGAAGGCCTAACGAGAAACCAGTCGGGGACGGTGTTTGGCCGTCTTTGCAGCTTGAATCCACCTCCATCACCATGTCCCCCCGTGCAAGGCAACCAGCTCCAGCTGTGATGGCACGTGGCTATGAGCACCGAGCAGGGTGGCTATGGGAAACTAGGGGAGGAATTGGGGAAGGGGTGTTTGATGAGGATTTGCGTGTTAACCAGCGTCGCTCTTCCAGCCTCGGGGTTATTGCTTGGCAGCAGAGGTGCTGATTGCATCCCTGTCCCTGCCTGCTGCTTCACATCCAGCTTCAGCCTTCCCTTGGGGCTGGTCCCTTAGAAAAGAGGTTGCCAGGTTGGCATCAAAAACCAAGCTGCCTTGCTAGCCCCATCTGAAACCAAAATGGTGTCCAAGCGCTTTTATTTTTCATCTTTAACCCTCGAAGCCTCAGTGCCTTTCTCCTGCTGTGGCTGTTTCCAGGCCTTGCCTATCCCTGCCCGTATTGCTCCCAGACCTGCTGTACAAGAGCTTTATCAAGTGCCACAAGCTGAGATTTTTTGGCTGCTGTCCATACAGCCGGGAGAAAAAGGAGACAAGGAGAAAAAAGAGCTGAGGTACTCCCCCCCTGCTCTGCTTCCCTGGCCTCTGCCTGGGTTGTTTTCAAAGAGGATCCAGTGGGAGATGTGGAAAGGGACTGGCACTCTTTGGCTGGGGTTGTATTGAAAACCAAAGCAGCGTGAGAGCCGGAGTGCTGCAAATCCCCCTTGTGTCCCGGGTGAAGGGGATGGCATAGCTGGGGGCTTTTTGAAGGCAGCTGCCTTCACTCTTCCATGGGAAAGCAGTGGCAGCCATGCCCACCTGTCGCCAAATGAAAAACCCTCCCTGCATTTTCCCGCAGGAAGCATCCCAGGAAGAGATCAGCCTCCTGCCCCCACGCCCCTGGCTCGCTGATGGGAAAAACAGAGACCCAAATGTCTCCCCCAAAATCGCAGAGGCACCTCAACCAGCTTCATTGCACCCTGCCATCTCCAAGGATGCCCCTTGGCATCTCCACCACACCTCTCAGCCCCAACCCTTCAGCAAGGTCCCCCAATGTGCGACAAGGGCTCTGTGTCACTCCTGTTATTTGGAGGAATGACTGCTCCCTCCTCCATCCCATCATCCAAATAATTTTGCTTTCCAGCTCATGCTTTGAAGCATTTGTCTTGCAAACAGGCAAAAAAGGTGAGCAGCACTTCACAAAGGGGGAAACTGAGGCACCATGGGATGAATTTCCCCAAGGCCATGGGGAAAAGTCTGCAGCAAGAGCAAGGAAAGCCTCTGAGCCCCAGTTCAGTGTTTTTAGAGCAGGATTGTACAGCTTTCACTTGTCATATGTATTTTTAAATGATAAGGAAAAAATTTTATAAACCAGGGAAACGTGGTTATTTTCCTCTCTCCCATCCAGCTGCTTGGCTTAGCTTTGTAATACACAAGAATGAAATCCATCTGAGTTGCTCTTGTCCTGCTGTTTAAAACTCCATTTTCTGTCAATATTGCTTCATTTTTATCAAGTTGCTTACATGTTTTATATTATTCTCTTTTTCCCCCTCCATTTTTCTGCAGCATTTCAGAACATTTTGTTTCTTGCACTTCTTGGTAAATAGCCTGGAAGTAAGAGAGTCAAAGGCATGCGGAAGGTATTCGCTCTCATTGTTGTGATGCTTCATATCTATTGCACTTGTCAATGCGGAATACCAAAAAAAAAAAAAAGGGGGAAAGAAAAAAAAAAAAAAAAAGCCACCTGGTTTATCCCCCTTGAGTTTCAGCAGCCATGGAGAGGTTTATCATCTGGTCTTTCCAGTTTATAGCATTGCTCTTTGCTATTAGATATTGCACGGGGCAGGCGTGCAAACTGCAAATTACAGGGAGACGCAGTTGTGGTCCCAGCAAAATCAAAGTCTGGAAGCAGGGTGATGCAAAGGAACCCAACGTGGGGTTCCCACCTGCAAACATGAACCTTTCCTGCAGATGAAGGTAAGTCTGCTCAGCATTGGCTTAATATTCCCCCCCAAAGGCCATTTCACCCAGCTCTGTGATTTTCTCAGCTTTTTAATTGGAATGATTCATTTCCTTCCACAAAGCACAGTAGATTTAAATGAGATACCCACGAAGAGCATTTAATAATCAGTTTGCACTTGATTTTGTCTCCTGTAATAATGCAATCGTGCAGGTAAAGGAAAGATAGTCTTGCAGGACAATGCTCAGAGCTGCAGCTCTCAGTTCCAGCAAGACAAAATTATGTCAGAAACCTGATTTTTTTTTTTTTTTTTTTTGCATGCACAGTACAACTGCCTAGTCCTCTAAATCAAATTTGACTACCAACATAGTCGAAACCGCAGAGGTAATCAGTTAATAAAACTTCGCACTTACATGCTACTTTCATTCAAGGATTTAAAGCCCTTTGCAAAGGTCAGTATTACAATGATGAGAATTTTCCAGCTGAAATGTTTTCACTAGGAAGGAGAAAAAATGTAGAATATTCTTTTTCCTGGAAGTTAGAAAATTCTGCTGGTTTTAATACAGGCAAGAGATAATATTCTTTGTGGGGGGAAAGAAAAGAAAGGAAGAAATTGCATGAAAATGTTAATGGTGTTTTAAAGCTTCTCAGAAAAGTCTTACTTGTGTAGCAGCTTTAATATACATTAGTACCCCTAGTCTGCAAGCAAACAACATTTTGCAGAATAAACTAAAACACAACGGGGAAAGTCTCCAAATTATTTAGAAATCTAATTCCCACTGAAATCGGGCATTGAGCATTTTATTCAATATGCATTTAAATCAGTGCTGCTGCCAGAAGAAATATACCACCTGTAACCTCTTCCCAGTCCTGCCTTGCAAGGTAGCCACAGAAATATTTTTATGGCCACAGCTACTGCCAAAATCCCTCCAAGGGTGGGAGCTGATGTGACTTGCCCAAGGCAAGCTGGGGGCAGAGGGGAGAAAATACAGTCCAGGAGTGTCACGGTCCCTTGGAAAAAAAATTTCCCCTGTGGAAAATGCAGGAATATGATAATTGCAAGCCACCATCCCCACTTTTGCACCTTTCTCTCCTAAATTGGTTGGCAGGTATGCAAGCAGGCAGGGATGGGAAACCCAGCATGCACAGACAGGATCAAAAAGAGCTTTGTTTCCTAAGGGATGCAGGCTAAAAATAATAATAATAATAAAAAAAAAAGCTCTTTATTTCCAGGGTGACTACCCCTCCACAGAGAGCAAAGCGTGCATGCACACCGGTGTTCCAAGCAATAATTCTCAGCTCACTGCTGCTCCTAAGCCAGGTTTAACCCGCCCGGCACTGGTTTAGCTTGTTAGCACAAGTGCACTTCGGAGTGATCCCCGCTTAGCTAAGCCGGCGCAGGTAGCCGCGAAGCCAAGCAGGCGCTTGCAAAAGCTTTGAAGTTCACCTTTCTGCACAGCAGTAAGTAATTAGAGTCCACAGGTGTAATTACTTTCCAACGGTTGGTTTTGTAATTGCGCTCAGCTGCCCCCCCCTCCGCGCGCGGCGGTGAGGGCCCCCCCGGCCTCAGCGGCTGTGCGAAGCGGGATGGTAAGAAACGCTTTTATTTCTTTATTTTTAGGCCCCTCTCCTCAAACTCTTGCCGGGCAAAAATGAAATTAAAGAAAAGACAAGCAGCCCCCCCCCCCAAGCTCGGAAAGGGTAACGAAAGGGAAGATAAACGCCCCTTTTTCACCCGTCTCCCCCCGCCTTGCACTGAGGGGTGCATCGGCTTTACAAAATGGGCGCGGCTAGGCGGGAAGCGCTCGCGCAGGGGCCGCTCCCTCACAAAAAAAAAAAAAAAAACAAAAAAAACCCCAAAAAACCCAAAACAACAAAAAAAAAACAACAACCAAAACCCTTTGTTTCGTGGGGGGGGTTTGGTTTTTTGTTTGTTTTAGTGGCTTTCCCCCCTCCTGGCTCCGGAGGGATTTTTTTTTTGGGCGGGGAGGGGATGTGTTCAGGAGCTGCTGAGGCTGTAACTGGGGGGCGCTGGACGCCTTCACACCCCCCACACCCCCTCCCCCAGGATCTGTGCGTGGCCGCCGGCTGTGAGGATGTAACTTAAACCGGGGGGGGTGTGTGTGCTTATTAATTTTTGCCCACCCTCCCCTGACTGGTCCCCGCCTGCTTCCCCCCCCCCCCCCCCAAAAAAAAAAAAAAAAACAAAAAAACAAACCAAGCAAATCTAGGAAAGCTTTGGGAGAGCGCGGGTAGGTAGGGTCGATGGTGGGGTGACAAGATATGGGGGGGGGGGGGGGGGGGGGGGGGGGGAAGCCATGCTTGCGTTCCTGTTTTATTTGCCCCGTTGGGGTAGGGAGCTGCAGCATCGGGGCGACAACCCCCCTCCCCAAACCTTTACTCCCGTTGATATAGAAGCGACGGCCCCCCCCCCTTCCCCTGAACCCCCCCCCTTCCCCTGAACCCCCCCCCTTCCCCTGAACCCCCCCCTTCCCCTGAACCCCCCCCCTTCCCCTGAACCCCCCCCCTTCCCCTGAACCCCCCCCCTTCCCCTGAACCCCCCCCCTTCCCCTTAACCCCCCCCCTTCCCCTGAACCCCCCCCTTCCCCTTACCCCCCCCCCCCAATTTTGGCCGTGGGGGGGGGGGGTGGTGGTGCACAAATACCCCTCCACCCCCGCCCCAAACGGGAGCACCCCCATCCCGCGCCGGCAGGCTGAGCCATCCCCCGCCTGCCCGTAAGTTACTCCCCCTTTAACCATCACTTTCCTTCTCTCCCTCCCCTTTCCCCCCCCCCCCCCGCAAAAAGCCAGGCTGTGCGGCGAGGCTCGCTCCGCCAGTCAAGGCAGCGCTGCCGGGGGAGGAGCTGGGGGGGGGGGGGCGGCGGCGGCGATGGAGCCGGGCGAGCGGAGCCGGCGGGCGGCCTGAAGCCCCCCAACCCCCGGCGCCGGAGCCCACCCTGAGGAATGAGCGCTTTCCAGGCAGACCTCCTCCTCCTCCTCCTCGGGTGCTTCCTGCTCAGCCACGGTAGGACCCGGCGCCGCACTTAGTTTCCGAGCGGGGCTGGGGAGGGGGGGGGGGGGGGGGGGTGAAACGGGGATGCTATGTGTGCTTTTTGCTCCTTGCACAAGGAGGGGTGGGGGGGAAAAAGGTGGGGGGGAGAGTGCGAGGATTGCAGAGTTTTTCATGCATCTCCGGTGAGGCAGCTTGCATTTTTTTTTTTTTTTTTTAAAGGAAAAATCTTTAGCATGCAAATGAGTTCTTTCTGCTCTAGCTGCGTTAATTAGATCGTGTTTGTGTGTAAACACGGCTTTGCTCGGCAACACCCCTCCGTCGCTGCCCGGTCCTTTCGCCGATATTGGGGGAGGCGATGGCCGGTTCATTTCGGGTGGGTGGCAAGAAGCAGCCCCTCGGGGCTGGCTCCATCCCGGGGAGAGCCCGCTGGCTCCGCCGAGGAGCCTGCGGTTGCAGAGCCGGGGTAAGGAGCGATTCGCTCCTGGAGGGGTAAGGGAGGGGGTGGGGAAAGAGTGGCTTTGAATACAGCCAGCCGTGGGGAGGGGGGAGCCCCTGCGGTGGTTTTGGGGGGGTGGGGTGTCACAGCCGGATCCCACCCTCCCCACCCCCGACAGCACGGGAGCCGCTGCAGGAGTGTGGGAATCCGGAGGAATTTGCCTTGTAACTTTGCTGCCTGCTTGTATCACACCCCACACCCCCCACCCAATAAAAAATAAAGAGGGATTTGGGGTGGAGGGGGGAGTTTTGAGAAGCTGTATTTGACGTGCTGCTGTGTGCCTGGTCCCTGGACTGTCTGTCACCTGTGGAGGACGCTGAGCTACAGCCAGACCCAAGCTTTGCCTATCTGCTGCTCATCCCCTCGCAATGCCGGTGTCAAATACCATCTGTGTCACGCCGCTGTGGTCCAGAAGCCAGCTTTTGTCAGGGTAGGGCTTGGGGTTGCTTTAAAAAAAAAAAAAGGGGGGGGGGGGAAAAACACACCAAACCCACGCAGCTAGTCCATCTGTTGATTAAATGAAGGATAAAACTTTTGGAGAGAGTAGTGCTTCTCAACGGGCAGCTGTTTTTTTTGCTCAGCCAGACATTATTGCTGAACATCCCCCACCATACGCTGCGTTTCCCCCTATTCCCCAAGCAGGGATGCCGTGGTTAGAGGTGGCTGTGCTTCTGGTTGTCCTTACCTCTTCTCTTCCTGGGCTCGGATGTGATGTTGGGCTCCCACGCTGCCCTCCCTTCCCCTTTTCTCTTTCCCTCTCTCTGCTTGTACTAATATTCCTTCAGGGAGAGAGCAGTGTTTGCATTCCCCTTTGCTTCTGCACAAAAGAAACCCACTGTGTCTTCCATGTAGATTTCTGGCTGAACAAATTTGAACTCTCCCTGGTACAGTGGCAGGTCTGGGGGTATTGGTGATTTGGAAACCGATCCTGGCCTTCTCACCTCTCTCCTCGCTCCCCCGAATCTCTCAACTCCCTGCAGGTCAGATGGCAGTTTGCTAGCGGAGCTGAGTAAGTTTGTGTCTGGGATCCAGCGGGGGATTTGTTTCGTTTTTTCTCCACCCCCCTGCCACCCCCTTCCTCCCTTTTGCAGCCATTATTTTTAATAAGGGCTAATGCACTCTTTAATAGCGCTTGTGTACAAAAGCTGTCGTGCCTCCTCAGCTCTGCTGTGCGTAGCCTGAGCTCAGTTGATTTGTCTCCTCTGTACTGTCAGGAGTGTGCATCTGGTACCTTGCTTATTCATGCCGGGTTACGAGGCAGAGAGATAGTGTCTTGCAGAGCGTTTTCGGCTGTTTTCTCCTGTAGGATGAACCAAATGCATTTCTACAGAGTTGCTGCTCACAGTACGTGAGAAAGGGGCTGTCGGCAGCATCGTGGCTTTCCCGTTTGGGGTGAAACCATGCAAAGGATCCCTAATAGGATTTCATGCAAAGGATTCCTTAAACCCCATGGTACTTTGTGGGAGCAAAGGGAAAGGCCTGGATGTAGGAACTGAAGCTTATTTTCCAGCATATGTTGTGTTTGCCTCCCGTCGAGCAGCTGCTGTGGTGGTTCTGGTGCGTGCAGATGCGGCGGCGTTTGCTTTTCATGAGCAAAAGCGCTCCTAAAGACTGGGGGGCCATGGGGATGGGGGTGTTATGTGTGTACCCAGAGGGCAGTCATGCCTTGCTGTGGAGGGAGCTGGTGGGCCAAAACTCACTTGCAGGAACAATTAAAATCACTTGACCCTGCCCATCAGGAGTTTGTGGCTCCTTTTTCTGGACCGGGAGCAGGCAGGCTGCATTTGCTTACCTGCAGCACCCGAGTGGTTTGGAGGGATTTGCCATAATAAGTCAGGCAGGACTTAAATTCCCCTGAGCCAAGGGCAGCAGGGATGGGAGGGTCACCTCTGCTGAAAACCTCGCTTGGGATCTGTGGTCTGGATACTAGTTTAAAAAAAAAAAAAAAAAAAAGACAAAACTAACAAGCTGCCTTGCAAAAGTCTCACTGAAAAGGCATGGATTAGGTACCCCTATGCCCTTGGGTTTGTACTTCATGGGCCCTGTGACTTCTTGTGGCATGCTGGCATCCTGCTGTATCTGCAAACCGTGCAGGCTGAAAATTTGGGCTCCCGGCTGAGCTTGCAGGAGGAAGGTGCTTGTTGCTCCCTGTCTGGGGCCGCGCTGCACCTGGGTGCACCCAGGCATTCCTCTGCTGAGGAGGAGGATCTCTTTTTGCAGCTGACTTCTGTGCTTCTCTTGAGGTGACCTAGGAAGAACAAATTGCCTTCCCTTGAGCATCCTCTCTCTTTTCACCCTTGCAAATGGTCTGAAACAGCCTGCGTTCTCTCTTCCCGAAAGTCGATAGGTCAGTGCTTCCTCTTCAGGGCTGTTTTTCCCCCGGTATTGCTCGCTCTTCCAGCCGCCCCCTCGAAAGCTGTCAGGACCACAGTTTTGGTGGAAGGCGAGATAGAGTCGCAGCACGATTTGCCTCCTGCGGAGACTAGATGTGTGGTGCCCCTTGGTGGGAAGAAATTGATGCTGCCATGAAACTAGCTGCCTCTTCTGCCTGGTGAATAGCTTATCCCTCCCTCCTCTGCTCCAGTGTCAGCCAAACTGGGTGAGGCTGCAAGCAACTGGGGAAAGTGCCTCAGCTGTGGGAGGTGGGGCTGTGGGAAGTGGCACCACTGAAGATGTACCTACAACCACCTCCTCCTCTTACTTGCCTGTACTGTAACAACCTAGATGAATTTGGCAGGATCTGAAATTTACCTTGGATGGGAAGATTTCTGCTTCTCTGGGGCTCTCTTTCCAAAGGCATGTTTGCTTTCCCTCAGGGTGACAAATACCAAGTTCTCTGGGTGTTGCAGGGTACGTTTTTCTCCTTCACAGTTCACTTGGTTCCTCCCTGGAAGCAAATGCTTGGCCATCTTCTGTCAGAGGGGCCCGTTATGAGCAGCAGTGGCTCAACTTCCCAGTTGCTTGTTATCAGCCCCCAGGTGGAGAAGGGTGAAATTATGCCGATGAGAGAAACCAGGCCAAATCCACCCACCACCACTGGTTAGGACTGGATGATGAGGATTTTGACATCTTGGGGGGAGGTTAGTGGGTGACAGGGAGCAAAATGTGAGCTTAAGGGGTGCTGGGAGGTGTACCTACAGGGGCTGGTGACTTTGCTCCTCTCTGCAGCCCATGGGGTGCAAGGGGCGCTTGTGGGTTGGTGTGTCTGGCAACCATGATCCTGCTAATGAGAAGCCTGGAGATCTGTGGTCACGATCCCTTTCAAAATCTAATTCCTTCTGCCATGTAGTGAGCAGGGTACCTTCCCAAGAGGAATGTGTTGGGCTGTTTCTTAAATCCATCAGGTGAATCTCAGCACTGGGGAGCTGTTTGGGAAGTACAAGGAAACGTATATGGTGCTGCAAAGTGAGCAAGTGCTATTGGGCTTTAAAAATTAAGCCACGGAAGAGTGATAGCAGCACAAGAATTTACAACTAAAAATGGGTGAGTAGAAGACAGTAGTGGTTTGGAAGGGTTCTTTGTGAGGATGGGAGGTGCTGGTGGTAGAAAGGTGTGGGTTTGGCTGGGACTTCACAACTGAACTGCCTGGGAGGAAGACTGAAGTAAGCCTCAAGTTAGAGCTGGTGTCATCCAGTCTGCGCTACCCCGGAGGAACAGTGCAGGATTGCCTCCTCCAACGTCTGTTTTAACACAATTTAGATTTCTGCATGCTTACCCATCTTCAGCCTGTACCTCCTGCGGTGAGATTCACACGAGGACCACGGATGACTTTGCTCAAAGTGGCTGGCTTGCAAGGTTTCGGTTATTAGAAAAGAACAAGAAGGAGGAGCTGTGGTTTTGTTCAGGTGCCCTTTGCCGGAGGGAGGAAAGCGAGGAGAAACACCTGCCCTGATGCTAACGCTGCATCCCTACCGGCCTCCCCCCTGCCAAGGTTAGGCGGAGGTGCCTGGGCAGTTTATGCACAGCACATCTCAGGCAGATGTCGATTACTTCTGTGCTTTCCTCTTGTTTTAGGGGACACCAACTGGTGTAGAAACGTGCACAGAAATCCCTGACAGGTTACCAGCTCCCAGTCCCTCTGTAGTTGGACTGCATGTGTTAAAATAAAAAGGCTCAATGCTCTTCTTTCTTTTGTAGCTGTAAATAAAGGGGAGAGGCTGATGTGTCCCTTAGGTTGTGAATTTGCTGAAGATCAAGGTCTTTGAATAACCTGTTTTCCTACAAGCAGTCTGGGATGGAGAGTGTGGCTCACTTCAAACCTCTGATTTAATAATTGTTTTTGCAAGTTTGTACGGTGCTCCTAGCTCTTCAGCTCCTTGGTGTGCTGGAGGTACAGTGATGAGTGGAGGGGACTTTATGAAAATGCTGCTGGAGAATTGGCTTTACATTACTTCCGGGATCCTTCCAGGAGGATTAAGCAGTGGGGTTTTTTTCCCCTTCTGTTTATTTTCAAGACCAGCAAATTTATAACAATTGATGAAGGCCCCGATTCAGCTTCTGTTCAGGAGCAATACAA